AAAAAAAAAAAAAAAAAATAACCCCCCAATTAAAAGGTGAGAAAATGAACTGAATAGAAAACTATTAAGGAATACATATAAACAGCCAAAAAGCATATGAAAAAGTGCTCAACATGTCTCATAAAGGAGCTGCGGATCAAAACCACGATGAGATATCACCTAGCCCCAGTCGGAATGGCAAAGATTAAAAATACAAGAAAATTATAAGTGCTGACGGTATTGGCAGTATTGTTTGGAAGGGGAACTCTCTGATGCTGCTGGTGGGAATGTAAATCAGCCAAGTCACTGTGGAAAACAGTAGGGAGGTTCCTCAAAGACCTACAAATAGAACTACCATATGATCCAGCAATTCTACTCCTGGGTATCTATCCAAAAACAAGACCCTGGCATTGGATAAAAAGTGGATGAATATGAGAGATTTATTGCTGAGTGAAGCAAATCAGGCTATGAAAGAGAGACATGGTATGTCTCCACTTAACATATACCAACTGTCTACACTCTGTGGTACAGACGGAAAGATTGGAGGGCATTGAAAATAGTTATGGACACTGGAGACAGTGTGGAAGGAGGGTGGGAGAGGGGAAGAGTGCAGGGAAGGGAAATGGGGGGAATAGAGAAGTAAGATATTTGTGGAACAGAGAAATGTTTTATCACCTTTTGATGATAATATGTACAGTATTCTCAACTGGACTGGTCTGAGGTATATTTCATGTTGAGTAAATTCTCTTTACAAGCTGAATGATGTATAGTGATTGTATAAAACATTAATAATAAGAAGAATCTTTTTTAAACTTTTAGCAATGCTTTTTCTCACGTTGTATCCATTTATAAACTATTTTGTGAAATAACAAAATTAAGATCTACATTGTAAAAACAACATTTGGGCATCCAAAATATTTATTTATTTATTTATTCATTCATTCATTCATTTATTTATTTTAAAACATTCATTCATTTATTTACTTATTTGTTGTGATTTTCAAGCTACCAGGTCCAGGACTCAAACTACAGTCAGCTTTGTGAGAATGTAGCACTGCAATCACCATGCCACCAGCTGGCCCTTATTTTTTTATTTTAAAACTTTTTTTAAGTGTGCTTATTTTTTTCATGAGGAAGAGACACTAAGAGAGAGAGACAGGCAGAGGGAAACAGGCACCCCCAACAAAGCCTTCCTGCTGCCATACACCCTAGTCAGTCAGCCTGGACAGCGATATACTCATGCACACCCAGTGTGCTCAGGGAGGGCCAGAGATGCAAACCCAGAACCTTTTCCAGGTGAGTGCAGTTGCATTGCTGCTGCACCATCACAGGGTCTTCCCAAATTTTGAATTGCTTTATGCCTCTCTATCCCATTCCATGTGTGATCTCTGTTAAGTTTCTGGTATATTCTGAAACTTTCTGTGCATATCCAGCACATAGATGGACAAATACATGCATGTGTATCTGTATCTGTGCATATTACTCACATGTATGTATGTGGATAAATGTGTGTTTCTCTATATGTATGTGCATATATGTATTTGTGTATACGTATGTATATGTGTGTATGCATGTGCCTGTGTGTGTGTGTGCAGGTGTGTGTGATATGCATGTGAGTGTGTGCATGTATTTATAGGTTAACGTGTGTGTATATGTTGGTGTACATGTGTGCATATGTGGGTGTGAACGTGTGCATATGAATGTGTATATGTGTATGCTTGTGCATACGTGTGTGCTATTCACCAAATCTCTTGCCTTGGTTTTTCACCAAGCATGAGACACTGGACACTTTCCCTGTCCATGTGTATACTAAGTGCACTGCATGGATTTCAGAAATGGCAGAATATTCCCATCAATAGATCCTATAATTCATCCAATTAGTTTCTGTTTCTCCAATTTATGGCAAAATGGATTCAAGTATAGAAATGCAAATCCATTCATACATTATTATTCCCTTCAAATGGACTTAATTCCAATCAGGCTAAAGAAGAAGCCAGTCTGATTCCTGGTCACTATGAAAGTGAACTGTCTCTTTCTCATCTCCTCAGTTACCAAATTTCCTCTGCTTCTATGCCAGAAGGACAGAATGTCTGCATGGAAGCTGTGAATCCTCCTTCTAGAGTTCCCACACATCAGGGGACAAAATATCACCCACCCAGTCTTGGGAATCTTGGGTACAGATGGAGAGGTGCTAGAGGGCTCTCTTCCACCCTTACCCAGCTCAGAAACCTCCTATCCAAATGTCCCTCTCTTTACCCTCTGTATCCAGGACATGCAACTCGAAGAACGTTTGTCTTCTGGAGGTTTCTCCCAGCTTTCATCCCTGCCCAGATGACTCATATAAGGAATTGCAAAAACTAACTCCAGCAAGAAATAAAGGGAGAGAGAATAAAGGAAAGTAGAAAAAGAGCTACATAAATATTCACTGAAGCAGTCTTGCCACAAACACTTAGCTGATTTCTATTTTGTTCTGTCTCACATAGAGCTCCAATGAAAGCTCTTACCGTTTCGAAATTGTCAAGTTGCTGTTCCCCACTGACAGTGTACAAGGTCCTTCCCTTCCACATTCTCGTGTACATAGTCCACTCACTCGGGCTGTGAAACTGGAACAGGAGCTGGTACCTCAGCTAATGGAACTGGCTCTAATCTGGGACTGATTCCATTTCTGGCACTGATGCTAGAACTGGGTGGAAACTGGTGACAGAGATGGCTTTAGGTGTGGAGCTGGATCCAGGGCTTAAACTCTGGAGCTCCTGCAAGTGCTTGAGCCAGATGTGGCCCTAATTCTGTACCTGACCTGAGTTCTCGCTCTGTAGCTGGTTTTAGAACCAGATGTAGTGCCATAGCTGGTGCAAGAGCCAGTGCCAGGGCTAGCTGTAGCCATGCGGGCTGGTGCAGAAGCTGGCTCCAGCTCTAGAATTGCTAGTTGTACTGGTCCTACAATTGACTCTAGCTCTGGAGGTGCCATTGCAGCTGGCACTGTGACTATGCTCTCACTCTGGAGCTGGTTTTAGTTCTGTCACTGCTGCTTGCTTCTGCAACTGATCTAGTTCTTGAGGTTGTACAGGACCTGGTGCTGAAACTAACTCTAGGCCTCCAGTTGGTGCTGGAGCTGCAAAAAAGGAAATATCACCCACATGACTGTCTTTCTGTGTGCCTTTCCAGAGTAAAAGAAAATATACTTTGCAGAGAAGTCCCAGCTCCTGAACCCAACACAAGAACTCTCCCCAGATTGCAGCTCACCAGCGTCTGCATGAACAGTTTGAGGATCCTCTTTGCTCCTGGCTCAGCACCAGCCTCTGGAGGCTCCTCACATGTTCACATGCACCCACCTCTGTCCTCCTCACCCTTAGGGTATGCCTCATCTGTCCTCAGTACTTCCGCTGGGCATGCCAAACAGCACGTAAACCATCAGTTGTTTCAGGCTAGTAAAGTCCAGGAATTAACAGAAATCTTCTGGATTCTGGTCCAGCCAGGTGTCAGGGAGGAGTAGATGGTGCCAGGGGCAGACAGGCGGGCAGCAGAGTCAGAAGCCTGGTCTCTTTCCCAGTGGCCCTCCTTCAGCACCCTCTTAGGGGGCTAGGCTTCTGTACTGACTCCTGAGCATCCAGAGGCCAATTGACCCTTTTGGCTGTTTGAGTAGTAGCAGGCCAGGTAAACAAGCAGGGGCTGCAAACAATATCCATCGAAAGGAGCCTTCAATCAATAATGTGACCCCCCTCTCCCTGCCTCAGAGACCCTAATGCTCTCCTCTGCCTCCCAGACCCCTCCCACAAGAATGCTAACTCCTCAAAACCAGAGAGGGGCTGTGCCAGCTCTGTCCAGTGCACTTGCTGGCATACAGTTGGTACTCCATAAATCTCTGAGGGTGCAGGGAACCAGCAGAGTCTGTCACAGGGCCTTAGTGACACCTGCTCTTATAGCCATGCACCAGACATTCTCTACAAGTCCTTTCATCTCATCTTCCCAGTGATACTATTCTAGCCAATGGCAACTGCAGACAGCCCCAGTCACACATTGCAGCTGGGCACAAAGACTGAGGGAAAAGGCCAATGTGAACAAGTTGCTCACCACACCTCCTGTCTAGACCCCTGTATGGGGTGAGGGAAGCAGGGCAGTAATACAACTATGGTGAGGAAGGATTCTCACAGAGGCCAGCTCTGAGCCCCCTAGCCTCCCCTTGCTCCTCAAGGGACCTGTGACCCCACCCACACATCTGACTTTCTTCTGCAGGGAAGGCCCTAGACCTCTAGCAGGAACCACAAGGTGTGTGGGGACCTAGGGTTCTCCCCACCCCTCTCCAACCACAGCCCCTCAAATATCCCCCACTGTACAGACTCCAGCCCTTCTTTTTGACTCAAAGCCCTGGTTGGTTGGTCCCGGGATCCTCCTCTTTGCAATCAGGATGGATGAATAGCCTAGCCCATTTCCTGTGTCCTTTATGCCCCCAGGCTGCTTTCTGCTCAGAGAGACCTCCAGGGAGGAGAAAGCATCTTCCAAAGAGTCAGAGCACAGTGATGAAGTTGTTCTGAGCCTGTGGAACTCCGCAGTTGGAGAGGAGGAGACTAAGACCACCTCTCCTGTATCTTATCACCACCTTCACACTGGGGTGGGGGCGAACTAAAGTGCTTCCTCTTGTGCCAGGTGCCCAGGGGATGGAGGCAAGACCGCAGATGCTGACCTCTAGAGGTTGCCCTAGGGATCAACACACACGCGCAGGCGTGCGCGTGCGCGCGCGCGAACACACACACATACACACACACACACACACACACGCACACGCACACAGGCTCTTGATTCCTTGGGAACCCCCTGTCCATCAGCCTGACTTCCCCCACCCCCTGCCCTCGCACAATGTAGACCAGCCAGAATGGACGTCCCTGGCTGGTACCCGCTGTGCCCCCTGGTATCTAGAGTTTACAGAAATGTGTGCCGGCTACCGTCACCCGGAGAACCCGCCCCCAAGTCAATTGGAGCTGTCTGCAGCCGGGCACCTCCAGCCAATCGTGGGGCCCGCTGACAGTACCAGCAGCCAATCGGGACAGTGCAGCAGCACAGTGGCTCCTGGCGTCCCTACAGAGATGTTAGGCTGCAGCTCCGAGGAAGCCTTGAGAAAGATCCCTGTTTTGGGCCTGGGCACGTGGAAGGTGAAACGGCGGGGAAGGGGGGGGCTTTTTTGACTTAAAGGGGGCGGTAGGGACTTCAGGGACGGGCGGATGGTTGGTCCAGCGTGGTCTGAGTTCAGGCGATCTGGAGGAGTCCAGCAGTGCCGAGTGCCCCCCGCTGGGTGTGCTGCCCTTGGCGTGGGGAGGAAGGACGGCCTTCTCCTACCTGGCTGTCAGCCTGGCCCTGCAGAAACCACGTCTGTAAGGACCTAAATGTCTGCCGCTGCTGACTCAGCCGGCTAAACCTTTTGTAAAACAGGGTAGTCATTCGCATGATGCAACATTACCCTCTGAACAGTGAAACTTGTAGACAGCGGATTTGCTGAAAACGGGGATTGTGGCAACGGCATTCTGTAGTGGAGCTTGATATTGAGGCCGTGTCATCTTAATCAATCAGAAATAAAGTTTGGGGAAACCGAGAGGAATCACTTTGTTGTGATGCTTGGAGAGGGGCAAAGGTTGACAGGCACGAGGTCAGCAGCAAACTAGCAGCCCGGGGAGCAATGATCTCTATGAAAGAGATAATTGGAATTGCCAACCTGGCTTTATAGAGAAACTTGGAACTTAGTTTTCCCTATCTAGAAACAGCCTGATAAAGCCATAATTTAATTTTACAAATGGTGTTCCTTAAGTTGATGATAGTAGAAGTAACTTTGGACCTTTCTTTACTTTGAACTTTCACATTCCTGTCAGTGATTTGACATACACCTCTAACTTAAAAACTTTTCAAATTTGCTCTTTAAAAATAAGTGAATAAATTAAGTCTTTTAATTTCAAAAAAAAATCTTTATATAAGAAATCACACAGAAAGTTATTGAATGAATCAGAATTAGAATGTTCAGCCATGGCACCTCAAAATATTATGTAATTTGTTACTCCTACCTGCTTACCAGCCCTTAGAGGTAAAGAACTCACTTTTGTTCTTACTGGTTCTCAGCATCTAGCTAAGGACCTGCGTTTGACAGCTGTTCAATAAGCACTGGGTGTATTAACCATAGAGTCTCTTGCCTCCCTTTAATTCTGATGCAGGGTTGTAGACTTTCTTGTGCACAGGATAAGGAAAAACTGTGTAAACTGTACTTAAGAAACCAAAATGTCCCCCTTTTTTCTTGTTGGACTACAAGTGTATAGTAGATTATTCATAATCATTCGTTGTACTCCATGCAAAGGCTCATCTTATATTTGGTCTGGTTTTTTTTTTTTTTGCTTTTATTTTTTAAAAAATTATTTATTTTATTTATTTTCTTTCTTTTTTTATTTCATTTTCTTTTATACATTCAATCACATTATTTAGCTTACAAAGTGAAGGGGTGTGAATACCAGAGAGTGTGTGTGGAAGAGTAGGGCCTGAGTAAGGACATTTAGAAGAAAAATATGGAGGCAAAGCATTAATGGGATAAAGAAATATGGTATTATCTATTGAAGCTATATTACAGATCAATCAACTGGACTAGGGAGAGATGTTGCCATGTTGAAATATTTGGCTATTTTTAATAGTGAATGAACATCCCAAACCTACCATCAGTTAGCTATTGCTCCAATATACTGCACATCAACAACTGACCACAAGACTTTGGGGCATACAACAGAAAATGGTATAGTACTCCTGTATGGAGGGATGGTCAATGGAGCGGCTCTGCCTGGGCTCTGCTGGGATGGTTGGGACTACTCCACTTGGCTCCATACAGCTTTCCTTCTCATGTAGTCGGTTTGGGAGTATTGTCATGCTAACAGCTGAAGCACAAGAGAGCAAGGGGAACCATGCAAGGTGTCTTGAGGTCTCAGCAGGGCTTTGCTTTTGTTACAGCAGTCAGTTTTTCCATGCCTCTTTGTGATTACCATCTTCATAGTAAGTTACGGCTCCTTGCCCTTGAAAGTGTTGTGACTGTTTTATGATTATGCTTATTTCTCTTGCAACTTTATTGAAGTATAATTGTACTATAAACTACACATTTTTACAATGTGCAATTTTATGAGTTTGACCAAATATGTCATGTCCTGGCTTTTTCTTTTTACCCCCTTACTCTATACTGTAAACTTTAAAATTAGCTTATAAAAATTTGTATTGGTATTTTGATGGGAATTACATTAGACCTATCAATCAATTTGGAGAAAATTGACATCTTTATGATATTAATTCTACCGTTCCAAAGCATGATATGCTTTCTTTTAATAATCTTAAGTATAATTCATCTCTAATAGCTCTTCATGTGGTTATAAAGCTCTTGGTGTAAAAAGAGCATAAACTTCTTTTGTTGGAGTTATTCCTGGGTAGTTGATAGTCTAAGAGGTTACTAGAAATGATATTTCTCTGAAATTATGTCTTCTACTTATTTGCTATTACTAGATTTTTTTAAAAGTCTCCTTTGGTAAATTTTATCATATTTCAAACCACTTTGCTAGACTGCGCTATTATTTATCTTAATATACCTATAAATTATTTTGGGTTATCTATATAAATGATCATATAATATGCAAATAATGACTTTCATTTCCTTTTTTCCAACCCTTAAGTCTCAAATTGCTTTTTCTCACCTGCTTGCACTGAGTGGGACCTCCAAATAGTGTCCATTCTTGTTTTGTCCCTGATTTTAAAGGGAACGTTCTGACATTTCCACATTTAGGATGATGTTTGCCTTAGTTTGTTTATTTTTGGAGGTAGGGAGGTTAAAGTGGATAATCCTTATCAGATTGAAGAATTCTCCTTTTTCCCTAATTTAATGAGCGTTTGAGTCATGAGTGCGTGTTGAGCTTTATTTAAAGTTAATTGAGATGATTTTTAATTTTTTCCCTTTTAGTCTGTTAATGTGTGGAAATATTGTGGACTTTATACTCTCAAGCCATCTTTGGATATCTGAGATACTCAAAATGGGTGTGGTATATGATCTTGTCATGTGTATATTGCATGCAATTTGCTATTATTTTAAGATTTTTATAACTGTATTCAGAAATAAGATGAATGTATGACTTCCCATTTAATATTCTTGTCTGTTTTTAGTTCAGACTTATGATGCTTTTGTAGAATGAGTTGGCAGTATTCCCTTTTTTTTCTATTGTCCAAAAGATTTTGTTAAATTATAATGTTTTTTTTATTCAAATTGTGTAGACTCTGTTGCTTTCCTAATTGTTTAAATTATTTAATAATTATGGAACTATTCAGACTTTATTTATTTTTCCTGGTTAATTTTTTCTAATATTTTTTCTATTTCATCTCATTTTTTCAAATTATTGGCACATACTTATTGGAAATACATTCTTTTAATTTTATCTGCATGTCTTACTCTTTATTCATTTTTTTAGAGAATTATTTTATATTTAACTTTATTTATTATTTTTTCCAGTTCTATCATAGAGAAACAGAGAGAGAGAGAGAGGAACAGACAGGGAATGTAAGAAAGCAAGTCACCAGGTCCGGGACCCGAACAACAGTCGGCCATGTGGAAGTCCAGTAGCTTTAACCACCACACCACCTGCTAGCCCCTGTGATTTTTTTTTAATTGCTTTTCTCTAGTTACTCTTGCCAGAAGTTTGTCTATTTACTAAGGTTTTCCTTTTTCATTTTTTAAAGTTTCATTAGAAGGTACATGCATGTCCCCCTGGAAAGAGAAAGAAAATAAGAAGGAAAGTGAGAAAACATCCCTCCTATGGGAAATGGTAACACCACAGTTCCTCTCCTTCATTTCCTCTTCCCTTCTGGATTTTGGACACACACACACATATGCCCCATGTGTTTCTCAAATTGCCAGGTCCTGGACTCACACTTTACTGTCAGCCATATGAGAACTACCTTTACCACCACACCACAACCGGGCCTAATTCACTAAGGTTTTTCTAAAATCTATCTTCTGGTTTTGTTGATATCTATTATATATTTGTTTCCCTTTTATTGATTCCATCTTCATTTTTTTTTGAAAGGTTTTTGCTATAGGGCGCATGCGCTCGCCAGAAAGACAGAGAGAGACAGAAAGGGAGAGATCATCCCCCAGGGGGGATGGCCATGCCACAGTCTCTTCTCCTCCATTCTCCTCTCTGGATCTTGGGCACGCACACACATGCGCCCGGCGTGAGTTTAAGCCACCGGATCCGGGACTCAAACCATGGTCGACTACATGGGAACCCAGCAACATAGCCATTATGCCAACTGCTGGTCCCCATACCATCTTCATTTTTATTTTCTCCTTCCTTTTAAGTTCTCGGGCTGTTCTGACTGATGGTGGATACTTGGTTCATGTCCTTTCAGCCACTCTGAGTCGCTTGTTGAGATGCAGAGAATTATACCAATATAGTTCATACGATTACTACAAAGTTCAAGTGAGGGAGTACTTTGTGAACGATAAAGACTCTTATGAATCTTCATTTTAATATGATAGCGAACCTACTCCCATAGTCTTCCCTAATCCTAGCGTCTTCTTTTGCTGGAGCCCAGGTTATAGAGTCTGCTTTTAAAGCTCAGTATAGTTTATAGCATCCATACCATTTATTCATTTAGACTTGGGGATATACTCCTTTGTGTATGATGGATTATATTCATGAGAGTGTACACCTGTTTACAGTTGAACTATGTGGTCTCTGAGGGCACAGAATGGATTTTTATACCTCTTTGTGTCTCAGTTATTATTCATTTGACATTTATTTATTTACTTATTTATTCTTTTATCATTCCAGAAGCATCTATTTCAGTTCTCTACAGGCACTAAAAGTACCTACAATTTTTCCCAAATAATGAGTCATAACTGTAATCTACCTATAAATTCTGTTGTGACTCAGATATTCCCATATTTTAGAGCTGTTTGATATTACTATAGCACCAATTGAATGACTTAGTTTTTTACATATTTTCTTCTTTTATTTTCTCAGGTGAAAAGGGAGAAATGGGCTGGGTTCCTGTAGCAGTAAGAGAATTACTTCTGTCTTGGTTTTCCAGGCCTCTCCAGGAGAAGTGACCAAGGCAGTGAAGGTGGCCATCGATGCAGGTTATCGGCACTTCGACTGCGCTTATTTATACCACAATGAGAGTGAGGTTGGAGCAGGGATCCACTCCAAGATCAAGGAGGGCGTCGTGAGACGGGAGGATCTCTTCGTTGTCAGTAAGGTGGGGCTCCTGAGCTGTGAGAAGAGCAGGATCTCAACCACACACAGAGTGGATCTTGAGAAGACATGGCATGGAGGAGTTCCCAGTTTCACTGTTTTGTACTTGATCCCAAACTAGCAAGAACTTTCACAGCTGTGTGCACCTGCCAAGTTATACTGTGTGGGGGTTTATTCACTTCATATTACTTACATGGCCATTCTGTTGGAAGTGCACAGAGATCCCCCCAATTAACAACACATTCTTTTTTTTTTTTCTTTTTTTGGAGAGGTTTCAGCAGTTAGCTTGCCAGACAGACAGAAAGAGACAGAGAGACAGAAAGCAAGAGATCACCCCCCAGGGAGGATGGCCATGCTGCAATTCCTTCTCCTCCATTCTCCTCTTGGGCTCTTGGACACGCACGCACACGTGCCCGGCGTGAGTTTAAGCCACCGGGTCCGGGATGGGAACTGCAGTCGACTATGTGGGAGTCCAGCAACATAGCCATTACGCTAACTGCTGGTCCCAACAACACATTCTTACTGGGTTGTCAGAAAAGTCATGACATGTTTCTCTATGCAAAAATGCATCATGACTTTGCCAATCCAATAAAACAAAAACTGAGTGATGGGTGTTTTGGCTTGTCGCGGTCCTTAGAAAGTCTGTCTAAATAGAGATTCCCAAACTCAGATCACCTCTGATGATTGCCAAAATTTGGCAGATTCCAAATAGTACCCAAGATCTAATGAATAAGAAGCTTTAGGAGTGGTGCAGGGGAAGGTGTCAGATACAGCTTTAGAAGCGGGCAATACCTTGAGCGTAGGTGGAAAGCAGGAACCAAATGACTGCTGCAGAGATCTATAAGCAGCTTAGTGGTCCCAGATCACAGAGTGTATGGCCACAGAGAGTAAAGGAAGTGAGACTACAGAGGTAGCAGCCAGGCCATGAGAGTCTGGCTGGGACATTTAGGAGCTTGGTCTTTTTCCTAGAAACAACAGAGAACCTAATGGTAAAGAGGTTCTCCCTTTAAAGTAGGGAAGCATATCTTAAATGTGAGACTCGTGCTGTGTATGGGACATTGTAACAGCTGAAAGGAGCATGCATTTAGGACATAAGCAGGAGACCAGTTAGGAGACAGTAACAACAGTGTAGGGTGGGACATGGTAAAGGCCTGAACTGCACAGTAGGAAAGGGCTGGAGAATGGATGGATGGGAAGGTGGTTAGGAGGCAAGTACTGTGGAAAATACAGGAGATGGGCTAAAATAGTGAGAATTAAACAGTTCCTTGGCTTTGACTTTGAAGAAGAACATTAAGACCGTGAGGTCAGGAGTTGTGGGTTCAAGTTCCAGCTGCCATTCTGGAACTGTGAGTACGGATGGTTAGATGGCTCAAGGTCGCAGCTTCATCATTCATAAAACAAAACTTGGGATTTAATCATCTCCTGAGTAATCTCCATGACTAAAATCACATAAGATCAAGATTCAAATTTGCCTTTCTCTTTTACCTCATGGTAAGTCAGTTTGTCATTCATCACTGCTATTTAAGGTAGAGCAGAGGGTGGTGAGGGAGAAGCCTTGGTGTATGTTTGGCTGAGGAAGGAGAATTTCTTCTGAATACTCCAAGTAGGGAGATGCATAACTGAGGATTTATAAGGTTCACCATGTAATATTAGGAAAAACAAGTTCTTTTTGTTTTTTGTGTTTTTTTGACAGAGATAGAATTTTGCTATAGGGTGTGTGCTTTCGCCGGAGAGACAGGAAGTGAGAAATAACCCCTCAGGGAGATGGCTATGCCACAATTCCTTCTCCTCCATTCTCCTCTTGAGATTTTAGACACACACATGACCGGCATGAGTTATAAGCTATGGGGTCCAGAACTTGAACCACGGTTGACTACATGGGAGTCCAGCAACGTAACCATTGCACCATCTGCTGGTCCCAAGGACAAATTCCTTCTCAGTGGATTGTAACCAGCAGTGGAAGTATACTCTTTATTTTGGAAATTCAGAAAAGTCACAAAAATGTAACTAAATTGGGACCAGCAGTTAACATAACGGCTATGTCGCTGGACTCCCACATAGTCAACTGTATTTCGAGTCCTGGACCCGGTGGCTTAAAACTCACGCCAGGCGCGTGTGCATGCATGACCAAGATCACGAGAGGAGAATGGAGGAGAAGGGACTGCGGCATGGCCATCTCCCCTGAGGGGTGAGGTCTCACTTTCTATCTCTCTGTCTCTCTCTGTCTGTCTGGCGAGCGCACACGCCCTATGGCAAAAACCTCTCCAAAAAAAAAAAATGTAACTAAATTAATAGCTTATTTATTCACCACCTAGAGGCAAATATCGTTAACAATGTGATAAATATACTTGTGGTTTTTTGTCTATTTTTTATTTTGTTAATACAATTTTACTTGTTTGTTTTCATTTAGTTTAACCCCCTTTGTTTTATTTAACATATTCAGTTTCATTTAGTTTAATCCCTTTTATTTTATTCAACATATTCAGTTTTGTTTTCTATTTATTCCTTTTTTTTTTTCTTTTTATGATAGGGAAAGCATGAAAGGGGTCAAGGAGCAGTAAGTGACAGGGCGTCCCCATGTCACAACCTTGCCCACTCTTCCAGTTAGCTAGGATGATGGCATGTGCCACAGCATCTGGCCCATTTCAGTTGGGCTGGGACCAAACCTGGGCCTCCATATAGCCTCAGTCCTTGTGTGGAGGAACCCTCCCACCTGCACACCAGTGGCCAAGCCTTAACTCATTCCCTTTTGTTTTTCACCTGTTGTGGAGTCTTCAGGTTAGGTTATGTCACAGTTAATAATGGGTTAAAAAAAAGGCAAGTAAAATAATTATATTTTTTTCTATTTAATGGAGAATAGAGAAGGACATGTCTAATATAAGGCAAAGTATGTTAACTTACCTGGTTTAACTTGCATGGTTATGATACATTAAAACAGAAGGCCTTTAATAAGGAGCCTGTACAGGTAGAAAACACAGCATAGAAATTTTGACTTTTCCTTGTATCTTTAATGCCTACAGACTTTTTTCTGGTCTGAGGGGATCCAAAGAGCCACCAGCCCTACCATCAAGTATCTTGTGGCATCCCAAACTTCTCTTGAGTAGGAATCAGGCAGAAGGAGCTCGGCTTAGAGAACCCACCCTACAGGAATCCTGGAGCCTTACTGACGATAGTGTTGCTTTCCTCCCCTCAGAACCTGTCATGGTGTACTTGTTGCCATCTCCTCCCTAGTGTTTCAGGCCCAAGGTGATAGCTTTGTGGGACCGAGGAGCATCAGCTATGTCAGCTCTGGGTGCAGCCCCATGTAATAGTTGTCTCCTTCTCCTTTGTAGCTGTGGTGTACCTCCCACAAGAAGTCCTTGGTGAAAACGGCCTGCATCAAAAGTCTGAAGGCCTTGAGGCTGGATTACTTGGACCTCTACCTCATGCACTGGCCCATGGGTTTTAAGGTACTGTTCAGGAGGTGGTTAGAGACCTAGTTTGCCATACCTTCCTCTCTGTGGGTAAACCCTGTCAGATGGTGGAAAGAGCGTGGACTAGCAGTCAGTACTGAGCCACCACATGCTCACTGTGTGGTGTGGACAGCTCTCTTGATATCTCTGGGCCTCAGCTCAAGAGACACTTAGATTAGAGGGGTTCAGAGGCTTCCACAGTCTGTCTTCCAGGCCAGTCATTTATTTTCCCCAAGCAAAGAGAACAGCAAGGCTTATTCCCTAGGTCTTTAGGTGAAAGCAGGTATACAACAAGGAAATACAGCTGCTCTATCTGCTGCTGTGTCATTCTCAGGCTCCAGTGAAGTCCTTGCCCTTATCTCTGCTTGTAGGTTCTGTTCTGAGGGGAGCGAGTACTCTCTTGCACTGTGGGAGATACTGGTTTGTTCAGCTGCAGCTGTGACCAAGGCTTAGGGTGGTAGATTATTTTTCTGCTTGATTTGTTTTTTGTCTTCCCTTAATAGGTTCACTCTCACTCCCTCTCTCACTTTGAACATTCAGCAGCAGCTTTTCTTGCCTCAGTCTCATGCATGTCTGGTCACAATATCTCTGCACATCTTCCCTGGGCTGAGATGACAGCCTTCCTGGCAAGAGCCTGGTCACACAGATAGCACCTGTGTAACCCAGAAGTCCTTGCAGGGTCATTCTTCGTACATTGGAATGGGTGACCACTGCTTGGGAGCCTCCTATGTATCTTTCTTGGGTAGGCCAAGCTGCTGGTTTTCATTTTAGAGGAAAACAACAGAAACCAGTTTATGCCTAGTTCAGCTTTACTCTACAGTTTTGTATAAAGTTTCAATAAAAGACATAGACAGCAGCCATGTATCAGTCACACTAACAGAGAACAGTTTTGCCCAGAAAGCAAAACAGGAGAGAATTATTCAGAAATGGTATCTGTATCTTAGAAATGTAATGCATTTAGCTGTATTGCTCATAGCTATATTGTATTTATTGTCCACTTTTATTATTTTAATTTTATACCTGGCAGTCTTTTAGTGTTTGAATTTAGTCTTCACAATAGTCCATGAGGTAGGCACTATTAATAGCCCCATTATACAGATCACGAAAGTGAAGCACAGAAAGTTTAAGTAAAATCATTGAGACATAGAAGCATAAGTTTAGGTCTGACATCTGTTACCCACTGTTCGCCTTCATCTTCTAGCAGATCCCTGACTTTGGATTTCTTTGTGGTAGGAAAGGAAAAAAGTCTCAGATCACTCAACAAATTAGAGTAGCCCGGTGCAGCCTTGTCAGCCTGCCTTTTGGGCAGTTGGAGCTCTAGGCCTGGTCTGTTGTTGGAAGATTGTAAGAGCAGAATCGGAGGATGAAGCCAGGTCAATAATGGTGTGAGGCCTATGAAAGTCCACCAAGAAAAAATGATCCTTGAAATATGAATCAGGCTGAAACTCTCCTTTTCCTTTGTCCTGTTATTGCTCAGGAGAATGCTTAGGAATCATTAAGTAAATAAGAGCCTCGTGCTGTTCATGCTGTACCATGCTGCATGGTGTTGTGAATGAGTGAGGCAGATGGATTGCAAACCAATTCTTACAACTCTGAAAGATCACTTTAGATCTTTTTATCCTTTCAAGGTATCTTTCTCTGCCTTCTGCCTCCCATACATCTTTGTACTCTCACTTCATTATCTCTCATCCTGATTAGATTTCTTTTTTTTTTTTAATTGCCAGGGAGAGAGAGAGAGATAGAGAGGAGAAATAGGGCATGTCAAACTGCAACCCCTTCTCCAGCCTGTTGGGATTTAAGGCACACATGCCTGGTGTGTTTTTCAAGCCACTGGGACTGAGATTCAAACCATGGTTGGCCATGTGGGATCGGGCTCCCTTAACCATGAAACTACAGTCTCAGCCCATGATGGGAATTCTAAGAAAAGAAGAGAAGAGCCTAACAGTACAGTTGGGGAAAGGTGTTATTTAACCCTTCCCCCTGTTCTTTACCAGAAATTATTAAACAATTTTCTGGCTATTAGCAAGGATTTGGGTTCTTCCTCTTCTACCTTGTGAGAAGTGAATAGTGAAATTCAAGGCTGGTGGAGACTTTGCCAGGCATTCACTGCACCCAATTCTTGGCCTTAAAAGGGAGAAGACTGAAGCCTAGAAGAAAGAAGTTGCAGATCACACTGGGCTTAGCAACAGTGTGTCTGGAGTGCAAGTCTGACATACAGATTATTTCCATACATTTTGGTTCTCCCTCAACCCACTCTCCTCCTCAGGAATGAAATACGTCCTCAATAAGCCCCTCTTCTGGTTCCCACAGGCTGGAGAAGAAGACTTGCCTTTGGACCGCAGCGGCATGGTTATACCTAGTGACACAGACTTCCTGGACACATGGGAGGTAAGTTGAGCTGCCCATCTGGCAACTTCATCCCTGCTGGTGGATCTCCAATTAGGAAGTGGTGAGACCTTGAGCTCCTTGTGTTCAAAGTCCCCAGATCTGTCTACTGGAGGTATGGAGTTTACAGTATGAGTGAGGAATGAACACTGGAAGAATACAGTGTCCTCAGAGGACTTTCTTGTGACCTTTAGTTTAGTAAGGAGCACCTATCTGAAACATGGTTTTAGGTATAGCTAATATAGACTTCATTTTTCCCTCATTTTTTAGAAAGAAAATATTAAAAATTTTACATGTTTATTTCAAAAATACAGAAGAGTATAAAAAAGAAATTTAAAAATCTGTTTTCCCATTACCCAGTGGTAACCACTATTAATATTTCGTTGCTCCTTTTTGGTCTCTGTTAAGCATTTTAGGAAAATAATGGTAGCAGCACAGTGAAGCTCAGGTGGGAAGGTGAGTGAGGCATGGAGGGAGGGTTTCTGTGTTCCAGACCCTTTCCCAGGGGCCAGGTGAATGATGAGGACTTGAGAATAAAGCAGCGAGCAGGGAAATCAGGGAGATGGTGGACCAGAGTCTCGTGGAAGCAGGTCACTAGACCTTGGGCAAGGATAGACCTTGGGCAAGGACTCAACCCCAGCTCGGCTGACTGAGTATATATGATCTTGCTCACCAGCAGGGGTGCCTAGGAAATCCCAGGCAGGAAATGAGTTCACACTGGACTGCTAAATCTAGGGCGGAGCTTGATTTCAGGAGATGGGCTTCTGGAGCCATCTCTGTGAGAGTGAGAGGTAGAGCCATGGGACTGCCTACAATCATCCATTTAAGAGGACAGCAAACAGAGAGGAATCTCCTGAATCAGGGAAATATGGAGTTAATCCTGACGTTTGAGATGTCACGGCTGGCAGGTCTAACTTTTGTCACACTCGACTGCCCCTTCCAGAAGACTGGGGTTAAACTCTAGTGTGTTCATGTAGCACAAGCAAGATTCTAGAGATTGTTACAGAGTAGAGGCAGTAACGTGCACATCGACTCGTTGATCACTGACCCCATGACAACTCAAGACTTACTGCTGACCACTGAGACCAGCAGGGGGTCATGCCTTTCTGAAGCTCAGGGGCAGGCTGACATCTCAGTGCTTGAGGTTGCTCTGCCCTTAAATTCCTTACAGTGTTAAATGATGAATGCGACATACATCATTGTTCTTACGAAAATTGTTATCTAGGTAGAAAGAAAAGTAGACAAATCAGCAAGGCACATACTCCTAAACAACATATCAAATGAAAGTCAGAGACTAGGAATACTAATAGGTAAAATGCATTGCATGCTCTCTAGATTCTAGCTCTCACTAAATGCTTCCTGTCCATTATTTCATGTAATCTCTAAAACAATCTCATGATGTAGACAATAGTGTCCCCATTTTGCAGATGAAGAAAGTAAAGTTTAGCAAGGTCATATAATTTGCCCAATGTCTCCCAGCTAAGAGATGGAACTGGAACTAGACCTGGAGTGCAGAAATCCTTTGGAAGCTTCAAATAAAATATATTTTAAATATTGGGTGAAGCCAGTTTTAGAATATGGTGTGAAGTAGCTGAAGGATCGACTCAGAGAGGTCTTTGTGCTTTTTCAGGCCATGGAAGAACTGGTGCTCACAGGACTGGTGAAAGCCATTGGGGTGTCAAACTTCAACCATGAACAGCTTGAGAGGCTTCTGAGCAGGCCCGGTTTGAGATTGAGGCCAGTAACTAACCAGGTGAGCTGGTAGAAGTTTAAGAGGATGTAATAGATGTGGTTGGCTGCCACATGGTTACCCTGGAAATGAGAAGACAGGTGAGACACGGGATAGGCATTTTCTCCAGGGACTGTCAGAATGGTAACGTATGGTAGCAGTCAGGCAAGTGCCTGTCTCTCAGGCTCATCTGGCCTGGTAACCTGCTGTGGTGAGTTGGCCTCTGTCCTTGGTCTTCCATGTGCCCACAGGCAGCTCATCAGGCTGTCCTCTACTTCCTCGTACCTGTGCAGTCTGGGAGCATGACAGGGAGGGGTGAATGAGGTCTTTATACCAGCTCAGACTACTGGAACAACAGAGGAAAGGCCTGTGAGGAAAAGACTATTGTACTTATGATGGACTAACTAGCTTTATGTGTCAAAGAACATTTTTACAGTATGTTATTTTGCTTAAATTTCTTATTAAACTGTAACAGACATAGACTGAAAAGTGCACATGTGAGAATGGAGCATGATGAGTTCTGTGACCGGCAGCCCAGTCACACCCTAACCCTCTCCTTCCATCAGCACTCTCCTCTGCAAAGGAGGGCTGCTGCTCTGATTCCTGCCAGTGTGACCTTCGTTTAGATGAAATACTGCAGCACTTGGGTAGTCTCCAGTTTGGGACTTCTAAGAATAGAGCACCACTTCCTGTGTTTTTCATTATATAATCTTTTTTTTTTTTTAATTGTAGTATAATACTAGGCCAGTTCTGGGCCCTAAAGGTTGAGGGAGCTGGATCCCACACAGCTGATCATGTAGTTCAAAACCTGGACCTGGCAGCTTGAAAAACACACCAGGAACATGTGCATTTGTGTCCAAAATCTCAAAAGGTTGGAGAAATGGAGGAGATAGAATTGCAGCATGACCACACCCCATTGAGGAGTGCTTCTTTCTTTCTTTCTTTCTTTCTGTCTTTCTGTCTTTCTTTCTTTCTTTCTTTCTTTCTTTCTTTCTTTCTTTCTCTTCCCTTCTGCCTTTCTGTCTCTTTCTGATGAGTGAATGTGTCCTTTAGCAGAATAAGAAATTTTTAAAATGCTGTATAGCATAGATAGAGAAATGTGCATGGATCCTAAAAGGCATAGCTCTGTAGATTTGTATAATTGAATACACTCGGTACTGAGAGGAAGAAACAATATCCTCTGCTGTCCAGAAGGTCCCCAGTGTCCTGTCACGTTACCACCACAATGAGCAGTCCTAACCGGAGTTCTAAGATATCTTGATCTCTATGTATATTCTATGCATATATAAACCATATATATATATACATTTGTATGTGTAGTAGCTTCTGTTTATTTAATGTCAGTGATATTAGACCATTAAGATGACTTGGCATCCATCAGGCCATTGACTCAGACCTTGGCAGCAGCTGGCATCCTGGAGCTCTTAGTATAGCTTTCTCATTGACAGGCAAAGAGACCTGGGCCTCAAGTTGGACCCCATAGCTAGTCAGTAAGAGCCAAGGCATCAATGTACATCTTTTCTTTTTGAGCACTTCTCATATAGTGTTAGACTGAGGTTTTGTGATAAGCTGTGATTCTGTTTATAGATTGAGTGCCACCCATATCTTACTCAGAAGAATCTGATTCGTTTTTGCCAATCCAAAGATGTGCCTGTGACTGCTTACCGTCCTCTTGGTGGCTCAAGGTAAGGATGAAAGTCTGACCATAGTGGAAGAATACTAAGAAACTATCTATGCACCCCTGTACTGTTTGTCTGAGGACAGAAAGCTGTTACTGGAGACCATAAAGTCTCTTTGAATGGGCTACCTGTAAAGGGCAGGGTCTTTTAAGTGACATTACCAGCCTAACGTGACCCCTTTGCTGAACTCCCCACTGGTGTATCATTCAGCTACTGACCTTTTGAACAAGACATTTCACACACCTCTCAGTCCTTAGATACTGCAAACTCTACCTGTCATCTTTACCCAGAACTGTAATTTGCACTGTTCTCCCTGTATCAGCCAAGGAGTCCTCACCCACTTAGCCACCCAAGCTAGAAACCTGAAATCATCCCTTCCCATCCCTCAAGTTTGATTCAGCACCACGGTTTATTGATTTTTTTCTGCCAGGAGAATTTGGACTCCATACCTTGATCTATACTGTCATGGCCATTGGCTTATTAAGTAAGAATTCCCCAAGGAATTCTTTTGAGGAGTCCCTAACTGCCTCTAAGATCCACTCCATCTCAATCATTGTTCATATGGTAGCTGAAGAAAGCTATTTTTATATGATTGTGTCCCTTTCCCTGCTAAAATTTTCTTCAGGTCTCAGTGTGACCTGCAAAGTATAGCTGGCCTGGGTTCTTGTGCATCGACCATGTTAATCTATCTGCAGTTCTTTAGGTGAAACATGTTCTTTATAATCTCTATGTCTTTATATGTACTGTTCAATTTACCTATAAATCACTTTTTAAATATGGCTAACTCTAGATATAAAGCTCAATTTAGCAACTCCTTTTCCAGAAAGCTTTCCTGACCCCTTATGCATATTTCATGTCCAGCCTTATCACACAATCTTGTTATTTTCTTCTCATCTCTTCCAATAGTCAAATCTGCTTGAGTGCAGAGACTGTATCCTAGTTATTCTGCTATTCCCAGCCCCTACCTCAGTGCCCAGGACATAAAGGAGTCCAGGAAAAAGTAGGTATTATATGACCTGCATGCTTTCCACGTAGAATTGGGCATGTGTATTTGAACTTCATGGCAGCCGGCAGTTCTTAATAGCCTAGGCCTCACTCTACTGCTTAGCGTTGGGGCAGGAGAGCCCTGAAGGAGTGAGAGGGCCTGCCATCAAAGGAAGGGGGCAACTGCAGTCCTGGGCCTATGGCAAGGAAGCTTGTGCTATTTGGTTCCTTTAGGAACCAAAACACCAAATGTAACAGTGCTTATCTCCAGACAGTAGATTTGGGATGATTACTTTACTACACTGTTTAAATTTCCTACAGCATACTGTGTTGTGATCATAAAATAATCTTTTATTTTGGAGAACTTTTTTTTTAAAAAAAAAAAAAAAGAAAGAAAGAAAGAAAGAAGCATCCACATTGGGTCTTCTTATTGACCACCCTGCACTCTGCCTTTCTAGTGAGGGAGTCAACTTGATGGATGAGCCTGTGATTCGGAGGATTGCAGAGAAGCATAAGAAGTCTCCAGCTCAGGTACAGAGAAGGGTTTTCCTGACCCAACAGTGCCACTGTCTACATCCTTGCCATGAGTTCTGGGCTCAAAGGTTTCAGAAAGAACTCTCCCTGCTCTACCCTTATCATGAAGAGTGGAGTGTACCCTTCCCACCTGCCACCTGCACATTTTATTCTTCCTGTAATGTCCTAGTCTTTAAATGACCCATATAAGCCAAGGTAACCAGGCGCCCGTTAAGCCTGAAGTTAATGGTTAATTCAGCTAAGCTGTAAGCTTTGTTCTCTCAGATGGCTTCTGATGGGCTTCTTGGAATCATGCCTCAGATCTCCTAAACCCATTGGCCCCTGATCAGAACTTCAAGGTATTGAGAAGCAAGTTGGCTGCAACCATATTCCGATTCATGCAGGCCATGTACTCTAGCCTCCCATGCTGTCTAGACTCAAGATGAGTTCCTAGGCCTTTTCCTTCTACCCACCAACAGCATGGACTAGTATGAGTGGAAGGAGAAATTTATAGGGGAAAGACTATATTTTTCCCTTGTTCCCATGTCCATTTTGGGTATGAGACACATGTTAAAGCACTAACATGTGAGCAGATGCTCTGACCTTCTCCTTAGGGCAATGATAGTCATTACAGATGTACTGATAGAACTGTTCAGAGTATGCCAGTTGATATCTGAAGGACTTTGGTATAAAAGAGCTTGTACTGAAAGTTCTTACTAGCCTTGACTTTTGGATTCTTACTGTACAATAAAACTCATACTGTTAGAAAAGTGATTTAGATTTTATTTCATGTGATTTTATTTTATGATATTAAACTCTTTTTTTTTCTCCTGTAGATTTTGATTCGATTTCAGATCCAGAGGGATGTGATAGTGATTCCCAAATCTGTCAACCCAAAGCGGATTCAAGAGAATATCCAGGCCAGTGTTTTCCTTTTGTTATGCTAGAGGGTTTTAGATCATGTATTAGCTACGTCAGGCTAGCTACTGTAACAAACAGCCCCAGAATCTTGGTGACTTTGACACCTATTCTCCTCCCCTGTAGATGTTAATCATCAGTTTTTCACTCAGTGATCCAAAGGTCAAGAGTCCTTCCATTTTAGGGCCTCCCTCTCTCCTGAGATTTGACATCTGCTCTCTTAAATCCAAGATGGGGAAGAGAATCTGATGGGGAAAGTTTTTATGGGCCAAATCTGAGAGTGTGTATTTATCATTCACACTGAGAGAATAGGACATTGTCATGTGGCCATGCTGACCCACAGCCAGATGGATGTTATCCAACCATGTGCTCAGGAGGAAGAGAAAGTGGCTAGTACGTAGCTAACCAGTCACTACCATATGGAAGCCTGCTCAGTGGTCACTTAAGGGTGGCTGCCTTGAGTCCTGTGTTGAAAAATTCCAGTCCTAACTACCATGTATTGACTTCCAAAAGGCTGGAATGAAGACTGATGAGGTAGGTATCTTTAGATGATGAAATGTATAGAAGACACTGAGAGACAGTGGTCATTCTGAAAGCAACCTCTTTAGTCTCAGCTAAGAACTATAAATATGTATGAAATTTATTTTTGGAACTATGTATGGCTTCAACTCTAAGGATGCAGTCTGTAGTACAGTGGTTAAAATCATAGACCAGAGTCCCCATCTCAGAGCATCATTAGTGTTACATATAAAAATGCATGGATAATGATCCTGATATGTAGACCTGGATAATATTAGCTGCCAGTCATCATCAGTTATTGCAATCATCCATTGGTGGCAATAGGTCTCATTCTAGCCCATATCCATTAGTCCTGTCAGATTAGACTTGTGTGAGCTCAGGGCTAGCCAGGCACCTAATCTTCAGTAGACACAGTGCTCTGGTACCCAGAAGTCTGCTACTCAGAAGTATGTTACTCTGCCAGTCCTTGAGCTTCCTAATGGCTCCATGAAGCACACTGTGTCACCAGGGCTTAATAGAAGAGCTAGCACAAAGAAGGTGTCCATGGGAACTTACAGGAGGACCCATATTTAACAGAGTTATTCCCTCAGACTCACTGCACTTTGGGATGTGGGGTGCAGGCTTAGTCTCCACATTGGCAGTGTGAATTTTCAGCAAGAGAAGCAGGCTGCTCACAGAGAAGACCTGGGAAAGAGGCAGAACATCTCATGGCACTCTTGAACTCTCTCTGTTATACTCTTGTCCACAGAGAGTGTGGTCTTCTTCCCACCTGTTCCTGCACATATTTCTCTTTACCCTTCCTGAGACATCCTAGTCTTTAAATGATCCAGATTAATCTAAGGTGACCAGTCAACCCGTAAGGCTGAAGAACATGAATTTGGCTAAGCCATGAGCTCTGTTCTCTCAGATGGACATGAGAAAAAGGAAGACTTTCCCCTATACACTTCCCCCTTCCACTCATACCTGTCCATGCTATTGATGGAAGGAGGGAAAAGGCCTGGGAACTTATCCTGAATCTAGACAGCCTGGAAGGCTAGAGCACATGGCCTGAATGAATCAGAATATGGTTACAACCAATTTGCTGCTCAACACCGTGAAGTCCTTATCAGTAGCCAACTGGTCTAGGAGATCTGAGGCATGATTCCAGCAGGTCTATCGGAAGTCATTGAGAGAATAGAGCTTATGCCTCAGATTTCAGGTTGGTATTTGAAATTTGTCATAGGGTGACTGGCTAGCATCTAGCCCTCACAGCAGCTTAGCTGAGGGTGCCCTTCATCCCTGTAAGGCAGCTGGAGTTGCTCCTGGAAGGACATAGGCTCAAGAAGAGCCTCTGACTCTTCCAATTGAGAAGTCCCACCTGAATGTTCATGAAGGAAGTTCTGCAGTTGGCAGAGAGTGTCACAGCTTCCCCCAGTTCTGCTGTCAAGGCTCTCAGTGCCTGAAGTCTCCATGGCCTGGGGCAGTGCCTGTGCCTTGGGGACCTCAGGGCACAGCCATAAGGCCCTTTTGTTTATATTAGGTCTGCTACACAGAGAGGAAATGATGTCCTGGTCCAGCTAGACAAGGTCAGACTAATCGAATGTGTGGTCCATAGGCCTGAGCAGATGTTGGCTGATGGCAGAGGCCAGAGAGCAGTTTTCGTCTAAGAGGGGCAGGATAAAGTGTCCATTGTGTCAGGAGGTTTCAGGAACTGAGTATATAGGATTCAGTAGGAGAAAGGTGCTGAGCTGGGCAGGAGGCTGGGAGCTGGTCTTCATGGTGCAGAGTACTGGACCACCCCTTAGGACCCACATAGAAATGCTCCACCATGCTGCCCAACCCTTACTTTCAGGGGCTCTTCTAGAACAGGGGTCCCCAGTCTCCAGGCCATGGACTGTTATCAGAACTGGAAACAATTAGAAACTGGGTCACACAGCAGGAGGTGAGCAGCGAAGCTTCACAGTATTTATAGCTGCTCCCCATGACTCGCATACTGCCTGAGCTCCACCCCCTGTCAGATCAGCATCAGTATAGGAGACCCCAGATGAGACCTTCTAGTTGCAGGAAAACAAACTCAGGGCTCCTACTGATTCTGCATTATGGTAAGTTATATAATTATTTCATTACCTATTACAATGTAATAATAATAATATTATAGAAATAAAGTGCACAATAAATATAATGCAGTTGAATCATCCTGAAAAGCACAGTGCCCACCCCCAGTCTGTGGAAAAATTGTCTTCCATCAAGCCAGTCCCTGATGCCAAAAAGGTAGGGGATCCCCTTTGTAGAAGGACAGGACCACCTGTTCTAGAGGGTCTCTTTATCCCATAATCCCAATGACTCATCTGCCCCAGTCCTCTCTCCAGTCAGAATTCCTGTTTCTACTATAACTGATTGCTCCAACCTCACGCCCCTCCACCTCTGTGGAGTTAGAGGTCCCATGGCCCCATACCTCCTTCATTCTCCTCAGATACAGCTCTCAACTAGTTGGGGTCAAAACCCTGTTGTGAAAAGTGACATTGTGGAAATGGGTCATAGTACTCAAATAAATGTATAAGGGACAAAAAGAATGGGGGGAGTTGAAATACTATTTGAGGAAGAAGAAAAATTGATTATTGAGAAAAAACACAATCTGAAATGGATACTGCTAGAGTTAATAGTTCCAGAGGCCAAGAGGCTCCATCATTGTGGCGGGGCTTGGGGTGGAGGGTGTGATACAAATGAATTTGTTTCTTTTGAGGGGTTGGATCATTGAGAAAAATTCTTAGCTATACATTTTAACTGTTTCCATGTATCCTTTATTTCCATAAGATGAATGCAGGATATACCCTATCCTTCTGAGGTTCCCTAAGACCAAGCCAAAGCAGTCAAATGATCAAAATCAAAGTGCATGCACTTTGGGTACCTCAGCTGTCATTCAAAGGACATTCCAGGTGTCCAATGAAGCATTTCCTTGATATCTTTGTGTCCCTCGAGGATCTAGTCCAGTGTGTTGTAGGTGACATATATACAATTAAATGGGAGTCGAACTGAGTTTCCTATGAACATTTTATTTTGGTTCCAGGTATTTGATTTTGAATTAACAGAACAAGATATGGATGACATCTTCTCTCTAGACAGGAATCTCCGACTAGCCACATTCCCCACGTAAATATGACTCCTTTATTTCCTTTTTAGAGTAGGTGGTTGGTTCCAGAGTAGGTGTTTATTATATACATTTCCTGTTTGAAGACAGGCCACTGAATGAAGACAAAGACTAATTTTATACAGTAGAGAGTTTAAAAATACATATCTACTAGAGGACAAACAGTGGTGCAGCAGCAAAATGTGATGTTCTGCAAGGCAGCCCCAGGAAGGTTCCCAGTTCAAATTCAGAGATCTCTCTGAGTGTGCTGGGCACAGGCTTGCCCATGAACTGGAGTTGACTGGCACTGGGGGTGGGTCATGGTACTGGGATCCTGTCGGGGCGCTGTTGCCCTCTCTCCGTGTCTCTCACTCAGGAGAAATAAGTAAACTTTGAGTAAGCAAATAAATAAATATAGCTACATCATTTAAAATGTTTCTCTTTGAAACTAATTGTTCTTTGCTTCTATTTTTTTTTTTTTTCAGAGCTAAAAATCACAATGACTATCCTTTCCACATAGAGTACTGAGGACATTTTCCATCTTCCTCGTTTCTGCTCAGACAAATCAACACAGTTGGAGATGTCATCCTTTCTCTGTGAAGGGTCTATGATCATAGCACCGAGGATAGGAGCAGCCCGCTTAGTTCTGAGTGCATTGCTACTTGGAAGAAAACCTAATTCCCTGAAAAATAGAAAGAATTTAATGCATGTTAAGTGATGAAAAGAGGTCTTGAGGACTGTGATGACTGTCAGGAGATCCATACAGTTCTTATGGTCCATTGAGAACATAGGATGATCGGATTTCTACAAGAAAAAATGATATCTGATCATTCATGAATTAAATTTATCTTCACATTTAAGAAAACTTTGTGTTACAGAGAAAGTAGCACAATGAATCTCAGTCCCTTAACTCAGCTTCCACAGTTATCGACCTGCATCCCTATCTCATTTTACTTGACTCCCCTCTGTGCTCTACCAGTACCTCCTGGATGATTTTAAGGACAAGTCCTTACTTTCACATGTCAAAAGGAAAATGGGGGGAGGGGGCGGGAATCTGGAGCCCTATCTCACATCAAAATAGAGGTTTTCTTTTTTGTTATCTAAATTTTAATTTTCAAATACAGTTGATTGATTGATTGATTATGACAGATTTTTTTTTTTTCATTCTGACAAAGGGTTTATTTTTTTTACACAATCCAGGCATTATCTATAGGGCTGAGAAGAAACAAGAAAGAAGAAGAATGTGACAAGTCACAAAATAATACCAATGAAGAGTAAGACATCTATAAAGTTTATTGACCAGGAAAATATAATGAGCTTGAACTGGTCTCCCAACTCTCTCCTCTGTCTAGGCCCAACTCTGGCATGGTGTGGTGGTGACAATGAATAATGGCCCAGGTCCAGGACTCTGCTGCTTTTCTCCTTTAGTTTTCATGATGCTCAAAAGGAACACTAAACAGTTTTCTCTCTCCCTGCCCAGGGTGGATGTGGTTGCAGGGCTCCTCTCAGTCCCAAATGAAGGTTATTGTACCTGTGGTCCCGGGAGATTGAGATCTATTTCTCAAGCCTTTTGTGTGAGTGCTGGGAAACCCTAGGGTTAAATGTGATTATGCCAAATTTTTGTGATAGGGTGTGGACACTCACCAGAGAGACAGAAAGGAAGAAATCACCCCCCCTCCTCAAAGGGGGATGGCCATGCCACAATCCTTTCTCCTCCATTCTCCTCAGGATTTTGGACACACACACACAGAAACGCACAGTATGAGTTTCAAACCACCAGGTCTGGGACTCGAACCACAGTAGGCCATATGGGAGTCCAGTGATATAACTACTATGCCATCTGCTGGCCCCAGTTTTTAAATAGAGTTTCTTAATAAGGTCTTCTGATAACTCAAATTATTCCTCTGGGAACTCCAAATCAGAAAGAACACATGACTCACTTTCCTACACACACTAGTGGCTTAGCCTGTTAAGACTCACTCTATCAGTTAGAATCCTGCACCTCATTCAGAACAGGGAGGATGACCCCTCTAAGGCCCAGGCAGTAAGAGTATAGTTTAGCAGATATGGCCTACATAGAAACTGTGGCCACTGCCCTACCCACCCCCAGCATGTCTGCCCAGCTCTGTGCCCCCGTTTCACATGCATCTCTAGGAATGTGACTTCTATTTGACTAGCTTGCCTTTGACTCCTTTCCAAGGGAATTAATGAGAGAAGAAGTCATATCTGCTACAAGGTGCTCTCCAGTCTCCCTTCTTCCTGTGTTCACCACATCGGTGTCCAGATGAGTCTCTCAGAGTTCCTGCCCCATCTAGAATGAGGCTCGGGAAGGAATGCAGGGATTTCCCACTGACTGATGGAGCTTGGGAAGAGTTTCCTCCCATGCCATTTGCCATTTCTATCCTATCACAGGCAGGACCCCCAGTAGTGGGTTCTATAGTCCAAATGAACAGACTACTTCATTCTTAGGACTTCAGTGTCCTCACCTGTTCAATGGTGGTAACTATAATATCTCCTGAGGTTGTTGAGACAGTATCTAGCCCATAAGTCTCAATAAGTGTGAGCTGTTATTACATCTATTATTATCACCCTGATCTCATTCCTCAATTCCTCATGCATGTTGATGGCTGGTGGGCCCTAGCAGGTAGGAATATCCAGGCTCTGGGATCCAAGGGAGGGTCTGCTACAGGCATCCCAAAAGACAAGATACAAGAATTTCAAATGAGGCTCATCTTAGTGGGGTGGAACTGGGACCAGACTGTCATGGTTTGGCAAAATGTCCAATGACAGGTTTAATAGGAAGATTGCCTATAAGGGACCTGGGGAATGGGAATCTTTGAGTGGGCAGATTTGCATGTACTTTCTTGATCTCTCTTGATCATCCTCATCCTCTTTGCCTTCCTTCTGTGGAATCTCAGGCAGTATTGAGGTTGGTGGGTCAGAACCTCTCTCCTATGCTATGACCCAAGGAGCCAGCCTAACCTGACCAGGCTTGGTCACACTGATGGCCTCAATGGGGTTTTAAATATGAAAACGGTGGGACAGAGTTGGAGCTAACTGTGCTATAGCATCAAGTGCCCACTGGGGTAGCAGAGTCCTGACCTGGTTTTCGACATCTTGGAACAAATTGTTCTCTGCTTGTTTGTATACCTCATCCTCTGCTTGCCTTCAGCTTGGTGAGGCTGTCTTTCTTGCTGTCTTGGTGCCCCTATAACCTCTCTGGCCAAGTACTAGATCCTTCTTCCTATTTAGACCCCTGTGGTTAGTAGGGATTGTGGGTGAAGACTCCTGAACAACCCAGACCTCTGGGAGGAGCAGCAGGAACATGGAACATTTTAATGTTCTCTGACTTCAGGGCTCAGTGAACCACAGAGTTTTTTTATTGTGATGGGTTAGATGTATGTGATTTTGATGAAGAAGGAGGTCACACTTCTCACCCACTAAGCTGATGTTAGAGTTGAACACTCATGAGAATCCAGAACTCCCCTGGAACTGCAATAGTTAGTAGCATCGCATGTCTCTTTCCAACCCAACGGTTGGCCAAGACTTTGGATTAAAGAAAAGACAGAAAGGGTTGGGCTTTGTTTACAGATGCTGCAAATTTCTTAGAAACTTATGTACAGGTCAATGATATCCAGCAGGCATGTGTGCCCACTGAAGGGTGGGATGGCCAATCCTGCCTGGAGAATGAAGTAGAGCCCAGCCAGATACCTCTCCATTTCAAGGGGACCATGGACACAGAGGCTGCGTGCTCAACAAGGACTTGGTTTCCTTCTGACCACTGACATCAGAGAACATAAAAAACACTGATGATATCAGGACCAATATTTTTCACTCGAGTTTCAAGAAGCTAGTTTTAAAGTTCCTCTTTATTGGTTCTGTGTCTAACTCAGAGGCACGGAGCAGGTCTCTGTCCCTAAGAGAACATTGAGTGTAAGATGTGGTTTAATACATTGTTTGCTCACCTTCTCAAAGCCCTCGAGAAGGGGGCCATTTCCTCTCTTTTTTAGAGAAGATGCACAGATCTGCAAGCAAGGTAGTGTTCCTTATCTCCAGTATCCAGCTTTGATGGAGCTCTGTGCCTTTTCCTGAGTCAGACCTGCCTTTCACTACGTAGTGTCTTTGACCCAGGGCTCAGCATTAGTGAGTTTCATTAATGAGCTATAAGCCCTGGGGGAATTCTTTTTGGTGAGCAATATGGTAGCACACCATTTCCTATGTAAAACTGCTAGGTCCTCCTATAGGACTTTGAACTACAGTTGATTCTTGTTCTCAGTAATTGTGTTCTACAAAGTGTCCAACACCGGGTTAGAGAACATAGCCATCGCTCCTGGAGAAGCACAGGGTTAGGGTCCCCTGATCACAGCAATTCCACAGCCAGGCAATACCTAACCCATTTTATGTGAGTGTCTGGTTAGAGATGCCTTGTATAACGTTTATTGTGGATTCAATAATATCGAACTCATAGCCAAAGGCACTATAACTTAGATCTGAAAGAAGTTGACCTAACACACATATTCTCTCCACAAGGCCTTTGGCACTAGAAACACCAGACAGCACTTCAGCACTGTGATTGGTCATTTCAAACAACAAAATCAACAACAAAAAGCATAAAGCTGTGAAAAAGACGGTAGTGAATGAGCATGTACAGGATACTCATTTATTGCATGAGACCAGACACAAGTCAGGAGACGCACACGTTAGGCTCTCAAGTGATGCGCACTCAATCAGGATTGTATTACAAATATTGAATTGAAGCTTACAAATATATTTTAGTCGGTAGGCAAATGCACAAATGTGGGCCCCCCTAATAATGAAGATGGACTGTATTGTTTACTTGAATAACATGGGCTTGATCTACACAGGTCGACTTACATGCAAATGTTTTAAAATAAATATGTTGGAGATTATAGTACTGTAAATGTATTCGGTTTCCTATGATTTTCTTAATAATGTTTTTCTTTTCTCTAACTTGCTTCATTATATACAGCATATAATACATATAACATACGAAATAGGTATTAATCAACAGTTTATGTATCAGTAAGGCTTCAGGTCAACAATAGGCTATTAGTAGTTAAATTGAAGGAGTAAAAAAATTATACATGGATTTTCGACTGAAGGAGGCAGGGGATGGTGATACTCTCTGTCCCCATTCCGTGTTTTTCTAGAGTCAACTGTATTTGGATTTCATTAATTTATTTTCTCAGATGACGAAAAACTGTCAGTTAAATTTGACACCAGGTGGCGCCTGAAAAACACTTAACGTTAAACTCATTTGTGGTTCTGACAGGAAATGTCATTCTTTACACTGCCTATTTGATTTTTTTTTCAACAATTAGGTGATTTTATTGGGAGGGTTGTCATTTTTTATTAATTTTTAAAATTATTATTCATACATTAAATCGCTATACATCATTTAAATTGTGAAGAGACACTTGTCCCAGTATGATATATACCTTAGTCCATCCCAGTTAGGTTTCTTAAACTTTATAGTCACTGTTCAAAAAGATCAATGTATAGAAAAATATGAAAGTCCCTGGAAATTATAAACCTGGAAAAGTCTCACGGAGCTCATGTTTGATCAATTTTTCCCTAATTACCTTTTCAGATTCTAATTGAAAGTTCTGAGCATCTTAATCCTAAAATTGAAGTTTACAAGGCCCTCTTCTCCCTTGGAATCCTTGCTTTTCTTAGGTAATACCACTTCTGTGCAACTCCTCCACCACCACTGTCCTCACACCAGGCCTATAGAAGCTGGCTCCACAGAGGAAAAGTATAAACTTATGCTCTATAAGGGACCACTTGTGGGAGCCAGCCGGTGGTGTAATGACTAAGTCCTGGACTCCCACATGGCCGACTATGGTTCAAGTCCCAGACCTGACAGCTTGCTTTCTCACTTTCCTACTCTTCTCTCTCTTTCTCTCTCTCTGATCAAATTTTTAAATACTAATAATAAATAAAATTAAATAAATAATTCTTTAATAAAAGACAGGGGAACCACCTGAGTCAAATGACTTGTTTGTATATCTGACGAATTAAAACTGGAAGTTATTTGGGCCAGCCCGTAGCACAGTGGTTGGGAAAGTGGATTCCACATGGCTAACTATGGTGTGAATCCTTGTCCCAGTGGCTTAAAAAACATGCTTGATACGTGTACAAGTGTGCCCAACATACCAAAAAGATTGCAATGTGACCACACTCTATTAGGGGTGCTTTCTTTCTCTCACCCTCTCTCTATTTCTCTCTCTGTCTCTCTCTCTCAGCCTCTTTTGAGTGTGTCACCCTCTGGCAATTAAAAAATAAGTAAAAACAAAACTGGAGGATACTCATTTCAATAAATACTTGTTCTCACCAGACACTTACTCTTTCAATTTGAATAGAAAATTAGAAGAAAGTGGCAGTTAAAGCCAAGGAGAGAGAGAGAGAGAACAGCATAAACAAATTCAAGAGGTGTGAAATGCATCATTTGTTCAAAGAACAATGGTTCATTGTGGACAGACCTTAGAGAGGATTTCAGAAGAAATCGCTGACTATACAGTAAACAATTTAACAGTTTTGAGAATCTGCCACCTGTTTCCCACAGTGCACGAGTTTACATTGCCATCAGCAATGTATGAAGATTCCCATTTTTCTATTCCCTACCCAACCTTCAATATTATCTGTTTTTATTTATTATAGCTATTCTAGTGGGTACAAAATGGTGTCTCATTGTGTTTCTGCTGCTTCTTAATGTTTTTTAAAGTGATACTCTTTGCTTTTGTCCAATCTAATGGCACCCTGTACAACCCATAATTTCTGATCCATCAAAAGAAAAGGGATCAGAATCATATGGTTCTGACATCATTCTATATGTCTATGTCAATACTTTATTTGTAAAATATTCATTGCGTTCAAAGTGATATTCTAAAACAAAACTCATAGGCTGGCCAGCAACTGAGAACTTCACTGTAATATCTTTCAAGTCCTAACAATAGGTTCATCATGTTCCTGAACCATATCACTGAGCAAGTCAACATTCTTTTTTTTTTTTTTTTTTGGAGAGATTTTCGCTATAGGGCACGTGCGCTCGCCAGACAGACAGAGAGAGACATAGAGACAGAAAGCGAGAAATCACCCCCCAGGGGGGATGGTCACACCGCAATCCCTTCTCCTCCATTCTCCTCTCAGGATCTTGGGCACGCACGCACACGCGCCCGGCGTGAGTTTTAAGCCACCGGGTCTGGGACGTGAACCACGGTCGACTACGTGGGAGTCCAGCGACATAGCCATTACGCTAACTGCTGGTTCCCAACAAGTCAACATTCTTAAAACCAGTCAATCGAAATTCAGGAATTTCTTTAGGGTCTTCTTTTCTTCATCCTTTTTCTCATCTGTGATCTTAGACCTTCCTTTAGCTCCTCTGAAATTTCACCTTCCTCATCCAATTTCTATTCACGTTCTTCTGTAGGCTCATAAATTGCACTGATAATCTCAAACCACTTATCAAATAGGGGCTGACAGAAAACAGTACACTTCCTTTCAAGATCATGAACTTCTTCATAAAATCTGGCTTCTATCTGTGCACATTTGACTTGAAGGTTTTTCAGAGCATTCACTCATCTTTTAACTACCCCAGGCAAGCTTTCAATGTTTCTACCAGACCATTAAGTCTTTCTTGAAGATTTTACATCAACTGAACAGTCAACTGATGCACTTTGATTTTTATAATTTTAATTTATTTTATACATTCAGTCACATATATCACTTAGCTTGTAAAGAGAATGTTCCAACATGAATACATTTCTCACTAATCCAGTTGGGGATACTATACACATTATCATCAACAGATAATAACCTATTTCTTTGTCCCATAAATATCTTGCCTCTGTAATTTTCTCCTTAATGTCTTTCCTCAGACTCTCCTCCTTCTCCCACCTTCTTCCCACACTGTATTTGGTATCTATAACCATTTTCTATGTTTCTAAATCCTCTAGTGTTTCAGTTTTGGCCATAGAGTGCAGACAGTCAGTTTATATTAAGTGGAGACATACAATGTCTCTCCTTCATAACCTGGCTTGCTTCACTCACCAGTAAACCTTCCCTATTCATCTACTTTCTGTCAAAAGTCATAGTCTTGGTTTTTTAATGGCTGAGTAGTATTCCATAGAGTGTATGCGCCACACTTTTTCAATCCATTCTTCTGTTTGTGGACATTTGGGTTGGTTCCATGTCTTAGTAATTGTGAAAAATGCTGCAATAAACATAGATATGCAGCACTTTTCCTACCAAGTGTTCTTCTGTCCTTTATCTTAAAATACCTTGTATTGCCAAAACAATCCTGCGCAAGAAGAGTGTGTGGCATCTTAGTCCCCTCTGACCCCAAAATATACTATAAAGCTGTGATAATCAAAACAGCATGGTATTTGCACTTTGATTTTTGTTTCCTCATGAGTTTCTTCTTCTACTTCAACATCATACAAATCTTGATCAAATTCAGACTGTTCTTTGTTGTCAATGTCTGCAATGTTGTAGAACTTCAAATATCAGCAGTTAGTACAGAAAGTCAGGTGACCAGAGCTGTGCAGGCAGTGACTCAGGCAGCAGTTGTGGCAGGTGGAGCAGCAAATCATCACATTTTTGCATAGAAAAACATGTCATGACTTTTATGACAACTTAACAGTTTCAGACAAGTAGATTGTTTGGGCAAGGTGATAGGTGCTTTGTGTATCTTGGAAGAGGGAATAAATAAGCAGTGGAAAAATCTTAAACAGTGTGACTTGAAATCAAGTTCAAAAGGTTTTTGGTATGGACCTGGGCTACTTTTGTCACAAGTGGGCCTGATGATATACTAAGATTTTGACTCAGCTTATACCCACTTAAACTCGGTTGACTTATTTACATTATTGGGTTGTAAATTGCTAGTGGCAATACCAGAGCATGACATCAAGACTAGAACTCAGGGGACCAGCAGTTAGCATAATTGCTATGTCGCTGGACTCCCATGTGGTCGACCGTGGTTCGAGTCCTGGACCCGGTGGCTTAAACTCACACCGGGCTCGTGTGCGTGCGTGCCCAAGATCCCGAGAGGAGAATGGAGGAGAAGGGATTGTGGCATGGCCATCCCCCCTGGGGGGTAATTTCTTGCTTTCTGTCTCTCTGTCTCTCTGTCTCTCTCTGTCTGGTGAGCGCATGCATCCTATAGCAAAAAAAAAAAAAAAAAAAAAAAAAAAACTCTCAAAAAAAAAGAAAAGACTGGAACTTGGTCTTGCAGAAATAATCACTCCAGAGGCAAATAACTAATGGACTCCAGAGTTACAACAGGCTTTAAACTACTTGACATTGTTGCGGGGGGGGGGGGGGGGGAAAAAAAAACAAACAAAAAACAAACCTGAAAATCTCAAAGTCTCAAAGTAAACTAGTGCTGGATGAAATTTTCTAAGACCAGTTTTTTTGAGACACCAGGAGAGTTTACTCCTCTGTACAATTCCAACTGAACACTTCACTGATATAAGCTGGTAGCAGATTGTTAGTGACTGATACCTTCTTAACTCTTT